CAAAAATAGGAAAGCATACAAGAAAAGAAACAATTATCATGAGTGTGTTAACATGCACCTAGTTTGGGTAAGGGGCTCGGTCTTGGTGGTAGCACCCCCACACCCTAGTCATCATGTGGTGATTTTCATTTTCATGGATACGACCTACTAACACCTTAAAAAAACTAATTCTTAAACTAAGTTTTCATTCTCAATAATACTACCGCACCAACACCTTACAAAAACTAATTCTAAAAAAAAGCATATTAAAAAAACTAACTCCTAAACTATTTGGAAAAATGGGTAGGGGCCTCTCTTCCCCGTTGAATTACCAAAGAACAAAAAAACTAATTTGGCACCCACCTTCCAAAAAGGGACTCCTATACTATTTCAAAAAATGGATAGGGCACGTATGTTAGGTATATGGCCCTTCAAGGCTTGAATACCAGTAGTCTCTCATTTAGTGGGAGTGATTCTTATGCCCCGAATACTTGTGAGGCTATGAGAGTTTTACTAGTCAGGATCTTGTTTATATTAGCCTCATGATTGTTGTGATTAGCTAAGACTTGGGGTATCCAATTGAATATAATAGAACCCAAGTATTTTTTATAAGTAACGGCCCTGTATAGGATGGTCATGACTTATGGGACATAAGTCTGTATCTTGACATGAGACCATTTCATGGCATGTGCATAGTATTCGTAAAATTGAACCAGAACGGTTAACCGGAATGGGCCCGAAAGCGGTTTAACCGGCCTAACCGGTAAACCGGCCGATTCAACCATTCTAACTGAGCAAGTCCAAAGCTGTCAAAAAAATGTTGAAAAAATAAAATTTGAAAAAATAAAAAAGATATTAAAAAATCTGCTAAATTATGAAATGCATATAATGAATGATTAAAACAAAATACATTCAAATGAAATTGAAAATTAATAAAAAATAGATTTTAACGAATCAATTTTTGAATTAAAGTGAGTATTAATGACAAAATTAATTTTTATTACTATAATGTAAAGAATATTATAAAATGTATTACAAACCAAATTCTTTATTTTTGGCTATTTATATGTATTTTTTAATTTTTTTAAAATACCGATCGATCACCAAAACCACCCAAAACCAGAACCGACCACTAACCGGTTCCGATCTTACCGGGCAGTTAGTGGTTAGATCGGCCGGTTTTTCTAAGAATGCATGTGCACTAACGTTCGCATGGGAAGCCACTCTTCCAAATCCATTATCAAATTTTGGAAGAGCCAATACACATATGCTTTGAGATGACCCTTGTACTTGTGTGGAATATGTCTTACAGGGGTGCACATGTAATCCATTGAGAGCCGAATGATGGGAAGCTCTTGTTCAATGACTTTAATGTGACGAATTATGTGTTTATGATATAAACTGTGAAGCATAAGTCAATTGAGCCAGGTTGAGACACTGACAGACTATCATTCGGGACTAACTCAATGGAGTCCTCTGATACCTAAGGTAGGGGCCATGATATCTCAGTTACCCTTTGTCCAATTAATTATGATGAGAAATGATGAATAAATGCTCATAAATATTTTAAATATTTATTGTGAATTTTTCAGAATTTTTTATTGATAAAAATGTACCTTTAATATTTGTTTAGACCTAATTCTATTTAAGAACTGCTACGTAGCACACCAGAGTGGGCATAGGGTGGCCGTGTGGCAACCCTGGCCCCACTATAAGATCAATGCCCAGCTGAGTGCTAATCCCAAGGTGGGGGACATGGATAGCATATATTATTTTATTATGTTGTTATTTGACTTGCTATATTATGTTATAACATAAAATATATTTTTGTTACATGTTTATTTTATTCACACAAGTACCTTTGTTGGCATGTGTGAGATCCATTTTAATATAATTTAAATATTGAATCCAAAGTAAAATCAAATAATATCTTCGCACATGTATGAAAGGGACATTAAGCTCATTGTGGTTGGTTTGAAATATTAGATGTATAAGATGATTGGTTCTCATAAAGTAATTTCCTTTCACATTTGTGAGTTTTACCATTTACCTTATTCCTCATTGCCTTTGATGGATCTCTACATTATTTGATTATTTAAAACTAAAGGTTTTATATAATGGCAAGTTGGATTCACTTTAAATAAAAATATGGACTTAAGGACAAAAGGGTAAAATGACCTTACTTAGGGTTTAATGTGGGTAATAAAAGTGCTCAATATCATCCCTTTATCCTAGTGGTTCGATGGGGATGGGTGGCTAGGGTATGTTGGCCTCTCATGGGCCTTTGGATTGGTGCATCAAAGGTGTTGATGATATCCAATCTTACACATTATGCATATATACTTCTTTAAGTCCCAAATCCTACCCACATGGAAAATCAATTTTGCTTGAATTGAATAGAGAGAAAAAACTGTGTGACCTCCACCCATTTCCCTTTGAGAGTTCCTATTATCAATTGATGATCTTTGAAGTTTAATGGTAGCTTTGTAAGGGCCTTTATTGTCCCTCTTGACACCAGCTCCAATAATGTCATTGAGTTTCATGCCTTGGATCAAGACATATCCTTGGTGCATGAGATGGATTGTCGACCTCTTATCATTGAGAATGACTCCATGTTGCTAGTTGACACACTCACCTACCACAGCTCTCCCCCATAGAAGCTTCGCATCCTCTTATCCAACTGTAGAGCAAAGCTCTCCTCTTTCGCAGACCACCAGTAGCAGATATTGCATGTATTCCGAGAGGCGAATCTGACTGCTGATTGCCTTGTTAAGTAGGCAGCCTTTATGGCACAAGCCACAGTTTCACAGGCCCGTCCCCTTGATTTTGTCACAACCTTCATTTCGTTGGATAATGATAATGTCCCTCTTTAAAGACCCGGTTAATTCTTGTACGTGTTCTCCTTTGTGATATAACATTTTTCTTGTGTTCATTAATAAAAACAAAACAGGTAGGGGCTCGTTGTCCCCACTGATTTACCCGAAAAGAATAGTTTAATAGTGGTCCTTCACTCCATAAGATCAAGTTTCTATCATACTATGATGAAGGTATGATCTCTCTAAGTTATTTTATATCAAATATCATTTTATCCTTGATCAAAGGTCTCTGGAAATTTTATTTACAATCATGTTTTAGTTTCCTTGGACCTCCATTTTGATGTTATCTTCATATCATTCTTACAGAGTGTGATCCTATATTTGCTTATGTGTTTTATGCTTTGATAAACCTTTGATAATACATAGTTTCTTTTGATCTACCCTGCACAAATTCTCTTGATCATTTCTAAGTCTTGTTATTCAAATTCAAGATATATTTAGATCATCTTAGAAGTGTATTTTCTCATTTAAAGTTGGAACTTTTGCATGAAAAGTTGTTTTGGTGAACCGATAGACCACTACAAGTTGTTTTGCTTAATATTGCTCCATATTGACTTGATTTGCTCCATTCTTCTTGCAAACTATTTTAAATCGATTTTGTGGACTCTAAGAAGTAGTTTTAAAAGTGTAAAATCTTCCTAATTGGATTAAACACCCTTGGGATTATAAATCACTTTTGCACTATTCATTGGGACAAAATTAAGTCCCTAAAAGGCTCAAATTTGTGGCCCAGGCAGAAGGGGTTCGAACCATGGCACCCCACATGTTTGCAAGCATGTTTATTTATTTTATTTATAGTTATTAAATGATTTATGATTGATATAACTCGGTATATTATATGAATATTGAGATTGTTATTTAATATTGTAGTATAAGCTTTAATGCTATGTTTTATTATTTATGTGAATTGAAATCTCATTGGATTACTTTGATCAAGTGTATGATATGCATGAGACATTGTGATATATGATGAGTAGGAAAAATGAAGATGGATTTATCATGTAATTTTAATATAATGGAGAATTTTAAATACAAGTTATGTAATATGTCGTCTAGATGTATATTGTGAATATTTGGACATTATATTGAGCTTAATTGTATTTTTTAGTAAGAGATTTGTAAAGGATTATTTGGGTTGAATTTTTATTATTCAAATATGTATAAATCAAGTTTATAGGCTGGATTTTATGTATAGTTCTGTATTTAGATATTTATGTATTTAAACCCTTGAGTTTTAATACAATAGAAAAAAATTTAAAGATTGTGTACCTCGCCACTTGATCTTATACCACCAACATTGTCTTCCACACTGAATTACCAAAAAAAAAAACCCAACTAGTTTGGCACCCAATTAACAGATGCGACCTTAAAAGATCATCAGCTTTACTTTTTCTCATAAATAGAAACAACTTGTTTTTAGTGCGTTAGTTACAAATCAGTTAACCAAATCCCATCAATAGAACCCCACTTCTCACTAGGTAGACCAACCAAAGTCATTGTCATCTACTAATTTATGCATCCTAGAAGCCTTATTTTATTTTAATGTCACATCCTAGAAGCCTTATTTTATTTTAATGTCACATCCTAGAAGCTTTTGCAAGAAGATTTTCTTACTCACTAGGTACACCAACCTAAGTCATTGTCATCTACTTATTTATGCATCCTAGAAGCGTTCTTTTATTTTAATGTCACATCCTAGAAGCTTTTGCAAGAATATTTTCTTTATAATACATACTAGAGGCTAGTTTATATAGAGTTTCACCTTAATGTATGTGTTTATATATAAGAAAAGTACTCTATGAGTAAGGGGACGCATTTTTATATTTGCATCCCATAAGGTATCAAACGCCCAGATAGATGCAAAGTTTTGGCCCCTTCCAAAAGAACAAAATCTAATGGTTCAAATTTTTTTCCAAAAAATGATCTTTTAAGCTTTAATTGTTTTTTTATTTTTACATATCACTGATCTCCATGTTTGAGACTATATATATACTTGAAAAATTAGGACCAAATTCCATCTAAAAAATGATTAAAAAGAGGGGCCGCATATCTACATGTGAGTCCTAAAAATGTTAGAAACCTTGTCCTTATATATAAGGCCTTTTTGCCTATCCACTTAAACCCAATAGAGCTTTGTGAATTCCCTACATCTGTAGCCATGGCAAGGTCTCTAGTGCACATTGAAACTATGCAAAGTATGATGCCAAGTAGGATAGCCAAACCAGATCTCATCCACTCAATTCATGCTTTGAATGGTAGCTTTCAAAAAGCATTTAGAGAACAAATGAGGGTTGTGCTCTACTATGAGGCTTATGAGATAGAGAAGGGAAATGAGAGGTGGGTGTTAAGTGGACTACTAAAAGAGTCCATTTCAGTGACCCTCTCTGGCTATCCAAGGCTCTCTGGGAGGCTCAATGAGATGGAGGGTGGATGGCCGAGGCTCTCTGGGGGCTCAATGAGATGGAGGGTGGATGGAGGATAAAGTGCAATGATGCGGGCTTAAAGCTTGTTCAAGCCAAGGTTCAATCTACTTTGACAGCTTGGCTAGGGGCAGGTGGGGCAGGGGCAGAATTGCCTTATTGGAAGGATATTGAGACTGAGGAGCCAAACTACTCAACTTTGATGTATGCTCAGGTAAGCAATGTTATTGTATCGATGCGTATCAATACGATACATATCGATATGATACATATCCATATGATAATAATCAACATGTGAAGCAATACTCTTTTTGGTTTTTGATACGTTAACAATGAGAATGGAGGGTGGGACGTTATGTTGAGGTATCCACTGATGCCCTGACCCCATTCTCCGAATAGGTTGTCAAACAAAATAAAGATTTTCAAGCAAGCTAACCTCCCACATTCTCATGAGCCATGCCCAGGTTTAATTTGCAGTCATATATAGTATGTTAATGGCGCAGGGAGAGTGTTTTGGGCTTAACACTGGGTGCTCATAAGTTGCCATGGACATGACTTCTAAGCCCATCAAAAAATTGGTAGGATGTGAACCTTCTCAGTATGGAGGACCATCTATTAGGAGGCTCATTACTATGTAACTTTCCTAACTATGATATAAAAAAGGGTGAGGTTCGTATAAGGTGTGCACCTTATATTATATAAGTAGGGCGTACATCTAAATTTTGCCAAAAGATGTAGTTCTGTTGTGGAAAAAGCTTGTTACAAAATGCATTATTTTTTAGAATTGAATTATATTTTTTATATAGATATCTATACATCTCGAAGCCGAGATAATCAATTAGAAACTATCTATACATCTCGAGGCTGAGATAATCAATTGGAAACTTTTCCAGCTTTGGAGCAGTCTTTTTTACTAGATTTTTTATGTGGACCTTACTTCTATAAGATAAAATTGCAACCTTATATAAACTTTTTCTATAAAATAATTATATCTACAAGTAGTGAAATATATTTCTCGTAATCAAGAAGGAAATGGACCACGAAGCACATCAAACTTTTTTCACCACAAGGCCGTGTCCCATGCTAATTCGATGTGAGATGTTCATTCTTCATTTTTGGTAAATTGATGCTAGATGTAATAAAAAAAAAAAAGGTAATTTATCTAAGGGTCAGGTTTGCGTAAGGCGTCAACTCTAAACCATCAAAGAAAAGCGCATTTCTAAATTATATTTTAAGATGCAGTTATGCTGCCGAAAAGCCTTGCGATGGTCCTATTTTCAACGCTAATTGTGAAATTGAGAATGGGCTGAGGCCTTGGCGGTAGTACCATCATAATGAAGTCTCTGATTCCATTCTCACCAAAAGGTAAGGTCCCAAATCCCCACTCACTTTACCATTTGAGAATGGCCTAGGGCCTGACGGTAGTATTCTGAGCTCTTTATGGGGAGGGAGGTCTCTTACTCCATTCTCACCAAAGAGTAAGAGCCCAAATCACCACTAACACACCACTTTGTTCTGTTTTTTTTACTTACCCAAAAAAAAAACTCTAATTATGAAATTTAAAAACTCTAACTAATGAAATTTAAATTTTAAAAAAAGAACTCTAATTATAATACTTAATTTTTTAAAAAAAATTCAGATTTAGCATATCTATAAACACTCAAAAATCTTGAAAATAGATGGTCTAAATAATATATAACAATACCACTATTTTTAGGACATAAACTTCCTTTTTTCTTCATATTCATATATCTCATGCTCGAGATTGTCAATTGGAAGGTTTTTGGGTTCTTTAAGTCTACCTTACATCTATAACTAGTAGATTTATGTGTGTTACACATAAAAAGATTATGAGCGATTGAGGAATAAATAGTTAAAAAAATATCAATAAAATCTCTAAATAGGATATAAATAACTTTCACAGCATAATACATCTTTACAAGTTGCTTAAATATTCGAAATTATAAAAATTTGCTTAAACAGTTTTATTTTTCTAACGTTATAATAAGAAATGAAAGCACAAATTATTGGAAAAATGGAATAATTTTGAAATTTATTTGAAAAGTCACAATAAAAAAAACTCAAAATTCGCCACAAGTACCTTTAAAGTGTGAAATTATATACTTATAATTATAGATTTCTTCAATCTTTGAAGAAAAAAAACAATTCCTTTTACAGTTAAGACAACATAATTATTTTTAAATCTATGTAAAAAGAAAAAAAAACACTAGTTAGAACTTTTGGGAGCACAAAATTACTTAAATTAAAATATTGAATGCTAAAAGAAAAATCAGTGTGGTTGTTTGAAATATTTATAATTTTGGCAATCAATAATTTAAATTTATAATAAATAATTTTAATAAAAAATATTATTTAAAAATTTTGAATTTTTATCCATAAACAAAAAATAAGTTGTACAGAACCAAAAAAGGGTACGCTTAAAATATTAATACACATTCACTAAGCGTAAGTCAGCATCAAAAAGGCCAAAAGTTTCTTGCAAAAAAATAAATTATTCTTTTAATGCACGAATAATCTAATGAGAGACTAATTAGTAACACTAATTAAATAGAAAAAATATATCTCTCTTAAATTAATCAATTTAAAAGTAATAAACTCAGAAAAATAAAAATTAAATATCTTACTTGCATGAATAAATTAACAAATATTTCAATAACAAAACTAAATAAAAATATACAGAAATAGCCCAACACGCCATCACGTAAGCTAATAGCTCTAAACGCTCTAGGGCCCTTAACTTTATATTAAAACAAATTACATCAGCCTATATTATAATAAAAGACTCCCTTGTAAAGAAGAACTCTAATGTAGAATTTGTTAATACATATATATGCATCACATAAACAGAAAAGCCCAAGATAAAAATGGGGTTGACTTTGAAATTAAAAATTCATCTAATACTTGCTAAATATTAAGGAAAAGTCCATATAAAATATTTCTAGTGCCAATGTCGATGAATTTGGATCTTTAAATGAAGTAAAATACTTATATAAAAGTACAATTATATGCCAAGTATAATTTAAAGCAAATTAAAATTAAAATAAATAATATCAAAAAATTAATAAAAATTTCCTTAAAATGATTTATTTAAAGAAAAAGTATAACCTCTTTACTAACTGCAATAGTCATTTATAATAAAAGTAATAAGACAATTAGCATAGATTTTTTGTCAATAGGCTAAAACCCACCAAAACAAAATTAAAAAAAAAAAAAATCAGATAAAATTGTTAATACAAAATTAATATATCATATGTAAGTTGCAATAAAAATAAGTTAAAATTAATTGTAAAGCATATTGCTAGCAAGTTTTTAGCCACTGCCAACTTTCATTATAATAAAAAGGCCAAAAAATAAGAAAACAATACGCTTTTTTTTTTTACAAGCACAACCATTAAAAATTAAGATGTTTTAATATCATAGTCAGTGTTTAAAAAAATGCCGAGTCGAACCAGACTCGCCCGGTTCGACTCGGGAATCACCATGGACGGATCGAATCGGTGAAAAAAACGGGAATCGTCCGGTTCTAGAGAGAACCGGACAATTTTGCATAGTGACTCGCCGATTCACTGTACGAAATCAGCGAGTCCCGTACATTAGAACAGAATTTTTTTTTTTTTTTTTTTTTTTTTTTTTTTTGAT